TTTTATATTCTAGCTTGTCAATATCTGTAATTTGAGTTCCTAATTGGTATGAAACTATGGACTTAGTATTTTGACATTACAAACCTCTAATTTGAACCAGTGCTGAATTCAACATACCACGTGACACACAGAAATTGATGTTTAACTGGGTTTTTTTAATATATGCTTTTAAATTAAAAAATTGGGTAATATATAGTACTAAAATCAGAATTATAATCTACAGATTGATACCAAACTTATTGACATAAATTCATGAGATACTAGTTCATTAAAATTGTGAGTGCGATTTAACAAACGCAATGACATGGCCTTTCACCCCTGACCCATCTAGAAAGGGTTAAATAATTGTCACCTCTTGTATCGAACGAGCATGTTGTCTTGCTTCATTAACACTCGCATAGGTTTCTTGACCTTTCATTCTGCATGTTAACCTTTCCTCAACTTTTATTGCTTAGAAATTTTGAAATTTCCTGTATAATTATACTGACTGTGAAAAGTAGATCTTGATGGCTCTCCCATTATTTTGTGGACCTATATTGTCATTCTTGGGGAAATCAGTTTTACTAAAGAAAACTCCATTTAATTCTAAAGTTATTGGAGTTGAAACTTGGGTAATTATTGATAAGATATATTTGTTATATTCTAAGGAGGATCTGGAGACTATTAAGTTCAAAAGTTAGAAGAGTTGAAACATTATTATATGTAACACCTGTTTATTTGTTTCTCTTTGGAGAATCTGGAGATTGTATTAGTTGTTAGTCGTATAACATAATTACATAAGCCTTAGGAAATGTGTATACTAGTTTTCTCTTAAAAAAGTTACAAGCATTGAAACAAGTCGTAGTTATACATAGATTATGCATGTTTTTTGTTTTTTTTATAGATAACATAGAAAATGTACCAGTTATTTGTCATTTTTTTTTAGCAGAGTTAAATATTTATTAAGGAAACTATTCTTGCATTTTGTGTTGAAAAAGTTTTAATTCAAGTCGGAGTTGAAATAAAGATTACAAATTTGTTGTTAATACTATCATTCACAAATGAGAAGATAACTTCAGGATTTTTCTTCTATGTAACATGAAGAAAAGACATCTTTAGTGACATCCTGTTGACAGCCTTGTAAAAGTTAGTTAATGTTGTTGTTTTATTAATATTAATAGAGTAAGTACATATTAAGTCTTCCTTTCCTGATTCTTTGTTATTTACTAGTAACATTAGCATTAGAAGTATAAGATTAATGTTATGATGTTAAATTACTCTTAATCTGAATGCCCTGAATTGTTAACTAATCAGGCAGTAGGTAAACAGATTTAAAGTTTTTCACATTTTTTTTTCTCTGTGAAAATTGGACACATTATTGACAATGTTTTCCAGCTGTGTTTCTATAATTTTATTTATTGTCTACTTCTGATATTTCCTACTAGTGGTTCAGCATTTTCTTACTGTATGTGCATAGCTAGTTCAAACTAAGTTTGTATATAGTGTGAAAAATATGATTTCTGATGGTAGAGTAGTAGAAGGTTCAAAATTTTATAGGCAAAAACTTCAAACCTTCTGGAAATCTGAAGGACAGGGGTGGTGGTGTAACTGAACCAAAGATCATTTTACTTGAGTTCTTGGTGGATGTACAGTCAGTACTTTGCATTACTGTTTCTCTACATTGAAGAAGAACAACTCATCCACCTTAGTAAATCTAATGCTGCTATCAGAGATAAATTTTCATTTTTCATAATGTACACAAATGCAGCATTCAAAGGGAATTGAAATAAATTATACATATTTCCTGATCACCACACTGGTGATGTACTGAAATTTAAAATAAAAGATGGTTAACATGAGAATGTTCCTTTTGGTGCTACAGTAAATTACTTGGATATCTATCAAATCCTACAGCCCACTTTGTTCACATGTTTGCAAGTATTCTGCAACTGTGGCTGATTGTAGTTGGTAATTTGTTCATTAAGTTTCTTTTACTTTTAACAGTCAAAGACTTTATTAAGCTTTAATATGGAGTAAATTTAGGCTTATCATGTTCCTTGTCCTCTGAAATATTCCAGGAAAGACTTAATTTTGTCCTAGAAACAAACCAGCTTCTAGGATTCTAAAACTTGAAACTACAGTATGAACTCAACCTTTATAGTTATTATTTCTAAAGTTTTCCATTTTATTAGAAATTAAACTGGCTGTGCAAATGGCATTTGAAACATGAGTCAATTCCTTTAATTCTTGCATGCTTCAAGCCTAGTGCTATAAATGTGGAATAATTTTAGTAGCCTTTTTTTGTACCTTCACAAACTCCCTTGCTCTATTAAAACCCATATTTTTTGTGTAAGGTATTGTATAAAATGACACAAAAAGATAAAATTATGTTTTTTGTGTAAGGTTCTAAATTGTTCTAAAAAAGTATTAACTACATACAGCCAATGATAATCGGTTTAATTACTGCAATGGGCCACTGATTTTTGGAAGCTAAATAGATTCATTGTGTGTGTGTGTGTGTGTGCTATGCATGTAAGCATTAGTTATCTATTGGAAAAGAGGTTTTCTTTCTGGGGATGTAGCTCTATTCTTACAGTTCTGAAATGATGAAATATAATGAGCAGTCAATTTTTTTTCTTTTTGGGGGGGTAATTGGAGTAAAAAAAGTGTGAATTATATTTGGGCAAATATTGTACTTAGCTTTTTTTCACACCAAACATTGTAATTCAACTTTGATGCTAGTTTTTAGAAAGCTAGAGTCTTCTTGATTGTTACATCTTGCTCATTGATAAATGACTTATTATATCAAAGATATTTTCACCAGCAGTTCCACCAAATTCTTGGTCTAGATGTTTGAAGAATTTTCAGCACTAGACACCAAATGATCATTTATATACTGCTCTAAAAAAATGCATGCTTGATCCTTTGTAATCTCATCCATGTTGAAAACATATTGATAAACAGTGTAAGAGCGTGAAGTTTATTAATTCTGTTCTTTTATCTTGAAAAAGTTCTCATTACTTCATACTGATTTTGAAGATATACACACTGAAATTGTTGATAGTTTCAAGATATTTTTGATTTTATTTCTCGTAATTTAACTTTCATTACCCATGAATGGGACAGTGATGTAGAATGGCAGTTGTTGGGCACATTGAAACACTCTTTATGAGGGGGTGTACATACCATTAAAAAACATTTAAAATGTTATCAAGTGATGAGAGATGAAAACTACATGTTCATTTTTTTTTACAAATAACAAAGGCATTGTCCACATACATAAAGTATCTAACAGATATAAAATTCTAGATGGATATTTTTCATAATAACATGTAAATAGGCTTACTTGACTAGATGTTGACTTTGAACCCTTGACGACACCATCTATTTGATCATAAATAGTATTATCAAGCTTAAAATGAGATTTTGTTTACCTCTGTAAAATTGTATCATTTTGAAAATTAAATCTGCTGCTATTGGAATTGCCTTCTGCAAAGGAATAATAGTTGACAGGGATTCAGTATTAAAATTCGAACAATAAACTTGTTCATCAAATCTCGTGTATGTCGTTTGTTTAGAGATCTTAAAACTATTCCCAACCATATATTCATTCTTTTCAAATGCTTCAAGAAGAAAATTTAGAAAAACCTACAGTTTCTTGGTATAGATGCCTATATTTGAAATGTGTCACAGTGCTCAAGAAAATAACTTTGATATAACAGGTAGTTTCAACAATGAGCACTGTAAGAATCAAAGACAAGTACGAAGAAACTAAAATTAAAGTTATATTATATCTTTGAGGGTAGACATCCTTCTAAATATAATTATCATCTACAAATAAAACCTTCAAAAATTTTGGAAGAAAACTCCTGGAAACACATTATAGAAGCATAAGATTTAAAATTTCATTTGTATCAATATCCTGTTATAGTTAATGGTATATAATGTTTTAATAGGTCCTTCAATTTTAAAGATGATTTTTGTAATTAATTTTTATTGATCTATCTTTATATTTTCAGGTTGTCATGCATGGAACTGTTATATTGACACAGCAAAATATGCATCACAGTAAGTGTAGCTCTAATCTTACTACTATGAATTCAAACATAATTATGTAGAACTGGGTCAAAGTGTGGCTAGATATTATCTTCTCTATGCAGTAAAGCAATCCCACAGACCCAGGTATCAGATCTTGTAAATACATTGTGTAACCTTGTTTTGGTTTCAAGTTTTGCAAATTGTAAATCCACTAAATCCTTATGGTAATTTTATACCTTTTGTGTTTGTTTGTTAGAATGACTTTTTCTGTAATGGAAGTTTATTTACTTATTCATATGCTCTTTATATATGTGTAAGCATATGTTAGGGTGGCCCTTATCCAATGCATAAAAAACTTATAGTAATTTCTTTTGGGGCACCTCATACTTTTATGAGGATTGACCAGAAACAAAAATAGACAAAAGTTTAAGGGAATCAAAGCATGTTAAGAGGTCACAACTGGCCATTGATGTTTCTCCCCCCTGTGATGCTATGTAATACAGTGTGCATCAGACATGCAACAAGCTATCCAAACAAACCAAAATTGCATACATGATGCAATTCTCTCTGAAACAGTTGAGGAAAAACGAAACAAATCTATTACAAACAAATTTACTATAGTACCATAGAAAAATGAATTGTTTGAAAATGCTAGTATGCTCCCATATTACAGAATCAAAACTTTGCTTCTACAACTTTCATAATGGTGCTTTTCTTGCATCAAGGAACTTATTTCTGTTCTCCTTGACCACGAAAAGAAGGTACTGTTCTTTATCCTTGTCTGTCATGTGAATGCAGCTATATTCTTCCATGAAGACTATATTGATGACTTGGAGCTGGTTGCATGTTTCTTTGCCCTTCAAAACCTCTTCATCTTGTTCCCATTGGCCTGGATCCTTGGAGAGTAAGAAGTCCAATTTCATGCCAATGATTTTGAAACCTTTGAGGCTGTTGGACATGACAAAGTTCTCCAGGGCTTTGGCCTTTGTCTCCAAGCCCTCCTCTTCAACCATTGCTCTGTTCAACCAATCCTCATTCCTGTAGTTCTTGATAGCTTGGACCATAATTCACTTGGTACTTTGACCTTATCTCTCTCTCTCTCCCCATGTCTGATGTTCACATTCTTTTCATCTCAGTTTAGTTGCTTGAAATAGCAACTGTTCTTTAACTTTATTGTTGTCAGAAATGATTTAAAGAAACGTAGTGATATTATGCAACTAGCTTATTTTTATGTATTGACTAGGTCATATTCTAAAACTAAATATGCATATAATCAGTTACATGTACTTCAGATTTACAAAATAATACCTTATTTATTCAATTCAGGAAAATATAGGGTGTAGTTAAAACCTATAAAACAGTGCACAGAACCTCAGAAATTACATGAAGCATGACAATCAAATTCATTACATAAAACAAGTGATGAATCTTCAAACTTAAAAAAAATTGTACACCAATTACAGTTATTTTGCACATGAAATTCAAGTTATTTTATCTAGGAATGCAAGGGCTGAATTTATTAAATAATGATAACATTTAATTATTTTTTGCATGCATCATAATAAGTGGCTGAACATGTTAAAAATCTGTATTTTCAAGCATGCTGTTATATACCATCAACATCTTACAGCATTAGTTTTCCTTATGGAAAATAGCCACTTTTACTTTTTTTGTGTCAAGTAACTAGTGTAATATTCATTGAATAAGATAATTAGTCTACAGGTTGAACATACTTATTTTAACTTTTAACTAACATTTTCAGTCCTCTGAGAGTGAGAAACTACCCATTTTATGTTTTAGGTTTCTGTTAAAGATAATTATTAGATGTATTAGTAGAATTTATAAGTACACACTAAATGAATAAAATGCAATAAATAAATATATGAATAGATGTGGAGTTTCCCAGCCTTTCCACTAGACAAAAAAAATGCCAGTCAAGGTAACTGGATACCAAACATTATACTGGTCATCACGCAAAAAGAAACAACCATCATCTGACAAGTGTCCATTATTAACAAACTGATACCACATGTATTTATGGGAGGGAAAAATACACTAGGAAAACTACTTTCACTTGGCAACCGTATTTTTAAACTAAGAATGATGATGATAATAAAAACACTAAATAAAATAATTTATAATTTGTTTTCAGTAAATATTGAAATGTAGGCCTACATTTTTAGCATGTGTATTTCACTTTGTAACTTCCCATCCATGATAGTTCTTAATACAACCGAACTTAAATGAATGGTACAACTGAATTAAAGTGCTGTATTACAAAAATAAGACTATACAAACTCGCAATTAGCTAGATTAAACAGAAAATATAACTATTGTATAAAAAAAAAAAAAAAAAAAAAAAAAAAAAAAATACAAATCGTACTCTATGATTTCAGTGTGAAAAAAGAGAAATTACATTTTTCTCTGATAAAGAGGATTCTTTTGTAACAAAAACAAATTAAGTAAAATCATGAAATTACAGCATAGTCAATCAAACTATTGTCTATTCCAAAATGCTTCCACAACTTTACTTTTGACATTTTCACCTAGTTTTCTTATCAAGAAAATATCTGCTGGCCATTCTGAAGTCAAATTTAAGAATATCTTTATTAGCATTGGTGATCTTCATCAAGCATTTCACTTTTTCCTCAGTCATACGACATCTACTTCTATTTCTAATTTTGTTCTGTAAAGAGAATCTTCTCTCAACCAGCATACCCGATACTGGAATAACTGAAGCAATTTTTGCAAGTTTTTTCCAGTCTGGATACATCTGACTAGTCACATGTGAACTGTGCATGCTGAATGAAAGTTTAATCCTTCATAGCCGCTGAGTGAATACATCATCAAAAGGAATCTCTTCTTGCTTCCTGTGCATTCATTACAGGTGTTGTGATAATCCCTGTCCTCTGTATGTTTTTCTTTCTCGAAATGGTCATTTACAGCATAGATCGGCATATTGTTGCAAGTCATAGTTGTGGTTTGGGTATTTCACCAGATTTAAAAGAATATCCATGCATGTTAGAATATCCAGATTACTTTTGAAAAATCTAGCTTTCAAAGCATCAATGAACTCTTGACACTTCCACATGATCTGATGCTCTTGTCATCAGCCTGTGACATTTCAATGTCTCTGCAAACATGTTCCATGTGATTTTGAGAGAAGGATGTTTCTTTGGGACCTGAATTATACTTGATGTGTTAGGGCTGCAGTTGATACCTGCACCATTGGCCAAGTCATAGGAAGCTTTAGATCATCTTTTTAGAACACAAAGTGCAGTTTTATCATGAATGGCAGCATATTTGACAGGATGTGGGTTAATGCAATGATGTTATACATCTGAATTTCTTTCAGAATCCCCTTTGCTTGAGCATTGTCAGAAGTTGCCTATTCACTGAGCTCCAATATAAAGTCTAGGAAGTTTTGCTTAATGACCTCAACAGCCCGGCTAAGGGAAAGTCAACGAACAGTGCATGGCTGTTTAAGACTTTTCAGGTCTCCAACATCAAGGGCTGCACTGAGCTGACCTAGACAATGTACTTGCGTAGCTGAATATTTATAAAACTTAAACACTTGGCTTACTGTGTTTTTGTATGCAGCTATTTTGTCAACAGCTTTTGAAGCATCCAGTGTAGGTAGAGCAGTATGATGCACAACACAAGGCCGGCATTGACCCTAATATGTTCCCACTCATTAGGCTGGCACTGTCAGATCCCAGGCTGACAACATGACTGACTTCTGCTCCTCTCTCTTGAAGCACTTCTTCAGTTTTGTGAAACATACACTGTGCTCTCCCTGAGCATGTATCATGATTGCTAAGAAAAACAGTCTCTGCCTTTTCTTTGTTTTCCACGTTCATGTACACGATAAGCTTTTTGTTCATTGTTACTTTTACAGTTTCATCTGTAACAGGACTGGATAAAATCTACAATCAAGCAAATTTATCAGTTCTTCAAACAAAATATGTTCTATGACGATACATTAACGAGTTTATTTTCGTGTCTGGAATTTTTACAGCTTTAAGCAACTCCATCATTGCTCTAAATTGGTTACTTAGAATGTTATAAACAACTTTAGGCTGAGTTATCAATTTAGTGGCTGATGACTGACTTTCTTTATCAGTGCTTTTTCATTTCAGCTTGCTGTTTCCTTACCCTTGTAGTCAAGATATGATCATTGCACTTGGCATGCACTGTCAGGGAAGAAAACTCCATATTTATCAAGCCTTTGGTAAATTAACTTTTCCTTGCAGCTTTTTGGCAAAATTCACAACATTTTTGTGTCATAGCCACACACAGCTCTTTTTCCACTCAGGATTGTTAGATCTTATGATTTTTTTTTACTTGTCAGAGGTGTAGCTTTAATTATGTCTTCTGAATGCCATACACTTTCAGGCTCCTCAGAGACTTCAATTTCTTTTACACTTGCAGTATTTTAATGACAATTTTTGAAAAATTTCCCTATTAATGTCTGTTTATTGCAAAGATATAAAGAAGTTTGGAGAGCCAATCTCATTTATACACATACACTCATTTGATTGCATAACGGCCATTCCTCGTAGTCTTGCATGGTCTTGTGTAATGCCTTCTCATCCAATCAGTGACAGTCAACATTTCTACCTACTCCTCACAGAACGTTTGATACCAGTAAACATGACCAGTGTCGTCAGTCTTAATCAGTTAATTAGGTTTTGAAAAGGTCTCAGACTGATATTTACCAATTAACAGAAATGCTGGTTTACCAGTTTATTGTGTATTCAGGTTAGATGACATTGTTGGTCCACATATACTTCTGTGGATGTTACATCTTCTACCTTTCACTGATATTTGCTTTACCTTAAGTACAATTGATGTGACTATTCATAGTGTGAGACATGGTTAACAAGATAAATAAGTAACACTTGGTTGCATCTATAATTAAAATACCTCTTCATTTGTGATTTGTAATCACTTTTTCTTAATTGTTTAGTGAAAACAGTACCACTAGAGTGCAAAAGGTTGGTGTCTATGGTGTTTTTGCTTCCTAATAATTTTTCAAACCTGATTTAATCCAAGACCTAATCTAATTGTGAAAATTAGACATTGGTTTAACTTGTATGTATGATTTTTGAGGTCTTATTTTTGTCTTTTTTATATGGAATCGTTATTAACTTGTGAAAATGTTTTCTACAAACTTGGGGATAATATATTTATAATTATGCCAGTATAGAAAGGAATAATGAGTTTGAGATTTTTTTTTTTACTTTTTGAGTTGTAAAGCAATTAAGTCATAATCCATAGATTGTTAGTTTGTTTTTAAACAGAGAAAATACTTACATTTGTATAAATACAAGTTATATCAAGAAATGCTGTATAACCTAAGCCTGATTTATATTTACATTTGCATAGTAGGTACAGGTAGTCAGTAGTCTGTTTTTATTTTTGTATTAATGTATCCAAAATTATTTATATACATTGTCTTTCCTCATCAGTCAAGTTCATATAAACTGAGTATGTTATTGACTTTTTGTTATTTTAGAGGGTATGTGGATGTTACTTTTGATGTGGATCTGAATTGCTTCAAGTCATACAAGATGATTTTTAGTGATAAAGAAAGATACTGTAGTGACAAAAGTGTGTGGAAAGGACCATTATGGAAAAATGTGACCCCGGTAGGTAGCTTATCTAAATAAACAATGTCTAGCATGATGAAATCTCATGAAGTTCATCAGGTTTAATTTTTTGTTTTGTCATTTACTATATTTCTTACATAAAATATCTGAGAAAAATTGATAATAATGAAATCATTCATTAAGTTCAGTAGTTTTAATTCTGTACTGTTATTTTTTTATACTTCTTATGTAAAATATTTAAGGAATTATATAGAGAATAATGAAATCTCTCATGAAGTTTTGTAGTTGTTTTAATTTCTTACTGTTAATTTGACAATTTTCTTAAATTTAATAGTATGTGAAGTAACTAAAAAAATTTTAGCATTCATACCAGAACTCACGTGTGTCTCTATCATAATTTTTTATGTAGTCTCCTGTCTTGTTGGCAAAATGTAGAACTATTTGCTTTCATTCATATATCTATTTTTACTTTCTGCTTAATTAATGATTGATTTAGCTAGTTCATGGGCCACTCCATCAAAATTATTTTTTTTTTCAATTTTAGGACTCACTATTGGTTTCTCCTGACTTTTTTATAAAGACAGTTTAAACATCACTATATGTGAATATCAAACTCCTCAGTGCAAAAACTTTCATATTAGTTAGTTATTCTAATTAGCAAAAATATTTAAAGAAAATAGCACCATTTCTTGTCCATTTGTGGAGAGCTGTGTATAAATCTATGGGAATCATCAATACATCATGTTTAGTATTCTTTATTTCATATTACTGGAGCTTTTCCCTAGTGCAATAAGGAGCACTGTTTTGATGATTTCTCAAACTTACAAGTATTTCGGAGAGAACATTTGTGATAGGGGAAAGTGGGCCCACAGGTGTATTTGAAAATAAGCAATGGGATTTTATTTTCTGACCCCTCAGACCTTCATACCTAAAACGTTTTAGCTAGATATTTTTTTTAACTTGTCTTGATCAGTATGAGAAGAGATATATGCATGTATGTATAATTAATATATTAATTGCTTGAATTCACTGAAGAATTTATAAATTTAAGTGTGTATGTAATCATAATATTAAACAACAGATGTAAGAAAATTGAAATCACATGAGCATTTCCAGTCTCTTTTTTTTAGATGATTTTACTCATCAGAGTCTGTCATCCCCATCAGAATCTTCTACAGAGACTGGGTTTTTGCATTCAATACTCATGCATAGATCTGTACAAAAAATACTATGTTGATGACAAGAAGATCTTTTGCCTGTGGCAGATGGATTTTCACAGCTTGTCTTCTTACATGAACAGCATGTATGCTCAAGTAAAATGGTTGGAGCAGGGGACAGATCTCATCAGTCAGTGATCAACTCATTTCCCACAACCTTCCATCCACGCCCTTTGTGACTTGGAATGTGTGGAAGCTGTTCAAGATAGCTAGAATGTACAGCAGCTTAGTTTACTAGTTAGTTCTCATTATATGTTTCCTGAAAGAGCCTTCTGTGAATGGAAGACAAGTCTGTAACTTTGTCAGCATAAGGAACACGTTGTATATCACCTGATTGATGTTCTTGTGCTCCTGCCCATACAATCAGCATATGTATCTTTCTAGGCCTTTCACTACAAATTCACTGACTGTGAATGAGCTCCCCAACTATCTAAATATGGCCTGGAAATCTACATCATATGCCAACACCTTAAAGGCTTTGGCTTTTCACGAAATGAGCTGATATAATTGCAGCCAGTGAAGCAATGAAATTAAGGTATTGTTGACAAATTCAACAATACTTCTTACTGTTACCCTTTCCTATATGGAACTGTAATTCTGTTTCAACATGCTTTGCATTAGAAACTCCAATGTTAAAAACATTAGTGTTTGTACCCTGGATGACAAATGGGTGCAGAGAACTATATGATGAAATTGAGGGCTGATGTCTGGCAGCATATTGTCAGTGCAGAAAAAGATGAGTATCTGCCTCTTCATAGTTACAATGCAGATCTTCTGTGTCATGAACAACCATTTGCCCATTCTCACGTGCAAGCTCTTGGCATTCTCCACCATAAGCAACAAATATCTTGACCTTCACACATTTAGATGGCCTGTTTCTCCATGTTTGAAAGAAGAACCTTATTAGTTCTGTCTTGCTTTCATTGCATGCTAGAAACTTCTTCCATTGTTAAGGGGACTGGCATGGCCAGGTGGTTAGGGCGCTCGACTTGCAATTTGATGGTCACAAGTTCGAATACCCGTTCCACCAAACATGCTT